ATAAAGTGTATATCTTAATTACGAGAACATTATTTGAAGTTTTGTTACCACAAAAATTATTCACATATAATGGTACATTTTAGGAGTAATATTACAACTGTAATTTTGATTAATTCACTGGAAATGATAGCAAGGTACGTTTTAAGAATCTTGCTGTTTTTAGTAAACGTGGAAGGGTAATAAAATTAATAATAATCTAATCAATAATAAATAATTATTCAATTGATTGACATATCAGATTTTTTAGATTTTAAGGCAGAACTAGGCAAACAAACACCATACATATCATGGCAGGACAATCACTTGGTATTAACTTAGTTTCTTGGTTCCTGCTTTTAGATGGGTTTTTTTTAAATACTACATTTACTAATAAGATAATTCTGAAAGTGATTGCTAGTATCATAACTCATTAAAGTTATTTCAACATCCAGAAAATTTGAAAAAGCAAAGGCTACGTTTTGGTCAAACCCTGGTCAGGCATTATCCAGTCCTGGAACAGAATAACTTACAAAAATCTCAGGTGACTTTTCATGTAACGGAATAAAGATTGAAACATATTTAACCCATATTTGATGCAATTCTTCTGATAAATCATAAGGTGTTTAGGAGGTTACTAATATTTGAAGACTGAGCCAAAGCTAGTGTTTATTAAGATGGTGGATTTGAACAAATTGTTCAAGGTTTGTTGATGGTTATTTGCAAAATGAGCTTCATATTAAATTACATACTGGTTTGTAGTAGATGAACACTTCAGGGCATGTTAATGTCTGTTTTCCTAAACCTTTGTTATGACGTTTACCAAATTTTGAATCAACTTTCGACTACATTTGTATTTTGTGTAACATTCTATTTCAATGCTAGTTAATTGTTCGGATAACTGTGGATTCTCTGTTCCACAATTTTGCATCACATGTTTCCTATTTCTGGAAGATGGGTCAGCTAGTGTACAGGTGCAGACAGTAACTTGGATCTTTTTTGTGTTCTGGTGCTGTGACATACCTGTACATAAACGCTGGCAGTTCATGAAGTCCAGTATTGTGGAAGTTTGTATGTAAATTAGGATTCCACAACAAAGTACATATAGAAAAATTAAATGGAAATGATGATTAAAAAAATGATTTCCTTATATTCAGTGTCATTGTTATCATGGTGTACAGATTTTGAAGAGAGAAACTTTACTGAGAGGTGCTGCAGATCAGCTGTTGAATATTTGCTTCTGGGTATGTCCAGATACGTCCATGGAAACATATTGTTTACAAGCCCAATTACCTTTTCCAGATTTCCAAATAAGATCAAATAGGTTTACATTAATTGTACAGACAAATAAGGTGCATGAAGTAGTAGACAGGAAATATTTTCTGCTTTTTATTTACCATTCTCTTAATTCATTAAAAGATAGAAACCCATGTTTTCAGATTATTGAACTAAATTTGAACAACGCCAACGGATAAGTAAAGGCGCCACGCGCAGTGTTGATAATCTTTTTATAGATACCGAAACGATCTGCAACATGAACATGTGGTTGTGTTCACGAGTTTTAAAAAATTATAAACCCAAACAACAAAATTCAGTTATCCTTCCCCTGGTAATATCTGTGACGGAGGTGAATAATTGCCAGATAGATTAATTGATTCGAAAGAAATTACGCTTCCTACAGTCTCAGGAGCTAGTCGAGACGCTTTTTCATCGGGCATGTAACTCATTTTCACTCGCCAGTTGTAATCTGCCAGCTAAAATATATTAATTGTAAGTGAGTATACACTGCTGAATATCGCCGGCGATGGTGGACAACAAAAATAGGCTTCACACATTTTACTCAAGGGGAGAACTTAACCGAAGTCTTTGAAGTGACGAGTCAACGCTTTGTTCAACTAAATTGTAAGGGTGAGTGAGTATGATTTAAAAACGTAGAGAACACTACTCAAGTAGTGAATCAAACTACACTGGCCCAAAAAAGAAACGCATAGGTGAAAATCCAGTGTTATCAGTGATGCTTTAATAACTTAAATTACACAAAAAGTAATGATAATAGAGCAATAAAAATTCACACAGGTATTGGGACATGTGTATCCAAAAACATACAGTCATTCACAGTGGTATTGAGAGTCTCTGTTTTTGATTGCACGGTCACAAAGTCAGTATCTGGTGTGACCACCACGAGCCTCAATCACTGCTCTGCATCGCCTGGGCATAGACTGTATAAGACGTCGGATCCGCCGTTGTGGGATTCTTTTCCACTCATCCTGCAACGCATCGACAAGCTGTTGACGTGTCTGTGGTTGCGGCTTTCGGCGTCGTACACGTTGATCCAATTGGTCCAACAAATGTTCAATTGGGTTAAGATCCGGAGATTTTGAAGGCCATGGAAGAACTGTAATGTTGTTGATGGCAAGGAAATCTGTTGTAATGCGTGCTGTATGCGGTCTTGCGTTGTCATGCTGGAAAATTTCTCTTGTAGCGTCAATTACGGGAATAACATGACGTACCAGGATTTCATCACGATAGCGCACAGCATTCAAATTCCCTTGGACATGCACCAGCTCTGTTCTGTCATTCACAGATATGCCTGCCCACATCATTACACCTTCGCCGCCGTGTCTGTCGACCTCACGAACACACTGTCGAGCATATCTTTCATTTCGACGTCTGTAAATCCGCATCCTGCCATCATGTCGACACAGCAGAAACCGCGACTCGTCGCTGAACCAGATCCTCCTCCAGTTCAAGAGGGTCCATGGCCGAACGTTCCTGCTCCATTGAAGACGTACACGACGATGGTGCTGTCGCAGAACAGGTCCTGTATGTGGTCGCATCGGTCGGATTCTATGCTCTCTTAGGCGATTCCTGATGGTTTGTGCAGAGACTCGACGCAGCCCAGGAACATTGTCGGCGGTGTACGCTGCAATGATGGTCCGATTTCGCAGATGAAACACCCGGATGAAGCGGTCTTGCGCTGGAGTTGTCACCCTTGTTCTCCCACTCCTAGGACGATCTCTGGTCGAGTTGTGCTGCGTGTAGCGCTGCCAGAGACGGAAATCGTACTCTGCCTCACGTCTAGATGCCTGGCAACTGATGACTGGCTTTCTCCAGCTTCCAAGTGTCCAATGGCTCTGTTTCTGCTTTCTTTGTTTAGTCGTGGCATCTTGAGGGTCGCATATACAGAATTTCGGAGAATGAATCGCAACAGGACTGCTGGCTTTTTATACCCATTAGTATCAAGATTCAGATCCCGTATTTGCACGTGCATCATGCCTTCAGATTTTTCTACATGCAGATTATACGGGGATTTTTTCAAGGTGCTGTGTTTTGGCGAATAATCACCAAAGGTTGTGTTTGCGTGTGTTGGATAATTGTATGGGCTATATTCACACTTAATATTAACATTGACAGTCATTCCATGCCATATTTGTCGAAACAATCTACTTTGAAGATCAGAATTCAGCTATGCGTTTCTTTTTTGGGCCAGTGTATGTCATTCTGCCAGATGCGACACACCTTTCACCACTAGGTATATATATTTATAGGACATGATATTACACTCCCCGTCTCTGCTTCAGAGTTTGTGGTGTGATATCGCTCCTGCTGTTATCATTATTAGTCGGAAATAATAAATTCTGGTTCAGACAAGCCGGTGACAGAAGCATGGCAGCTGTCAACATGAAGAATTGTAGAATACTTTGTGGATAATTAAAACTTCCCAATATATACAAAAGATGTTTTTTTATCAACACACACATGCACTCAGTCACTCACACACGCACACACACACACACAAAAACACACACACACACACACACACACACGCACACGCACCTGAAACCATAATTGCCTATAAAAGGTGTGGTCCTGTGACATAATATCCTGAGATATACATCGATGTGTGTAAGTGTTATCTCCCTACAAGTCAATATTTCACAGTCTATTTATAGACACAGCACAGACCCACCTTTAGCACTTTCGTCATTATTGCGTCGTATGAAATGCACCTGACAAGTCCACAGTAAATCATGTCTACTATCACAGGTGGATTCAGGAGAGGGTGGCGGGGTGGGGTGGGTGCGCAGGCGTGCACTTACCCAACACCACCCTACCCCCAGATAGTGTATTTATTGACCATTGAATAATGAAGTGTACATCCCCAACCCAACCCACCCCGCCCCCACCCCCTTTCTCAAAACCTGTATCCACCCCTGTACACTGAATACTGATGCAATCACTTGGGTAATCATCGTTGATTTATCGAATCAGTACGTCTATTTAGTCTCTGCAGACGAGGGCAGACGCTGTTCACCCGTGTGTTTCACAACAAACGTGCAAGGACTCCTTAGAATCGATATATGGTGGCCTAGGGCAACTCCAGATGATGTTACATGCATACAGGGAATATGATGATGTAAAATGAAGACATTACTTACTTAGTTAACTGTAATTAACTGCAGAAGTTCTCCCTGTCTCAACTGGGGTTTGTGCCTGGAATTCACGTAAAGGGGAATCACCTATACACCAGATCACGTGGTGCGTTTCCTGATCACCCATTGGCACATGTCTCACACAATGAAACATTCGTTACCACTCGTCCCTTTCCGTAACCTCAAAAAGACTGGTGTTTGGACTCGTCTGTTGTAAAAAGCGTAATCCATTACAATATTGACAATACGTCTACTTTCACTATGAATGCATAAAGGGGGGTAATTCTTGTAACACAAATAGAACGGTTCAAAGCAGGTGCAGTTGCAGTGTTCAGATAACACGTTCGAGTCACACTGTGACATGTTGTTCGCAGTTTCCATAAATTATTTAATAGATATTTCTTTTGTTTCTTGTCACTATTGTATGAAATGTCTGTAAAGTAACAACCGAAATAGAAATAATACTTTCAAATTTAAGGGTACGGTAGTTGGCCATAAGTGAGTCATCATTAGTGAAATTTCCATAGACTTAGATATCGTTATCTAATACACTTTAATGTTAAACATTCGCAATTTGAAATACAGAGTTTACATGGACTGAATTAACATACATTCACTCTTCAATACTCGCCCCTTTCTGTTACCCGCAAGAAGGTTCGCCCCTTACTGATAAAGGTAGTGTGCAAAAACACCCGATCAACCAATCAGATTGCGTATAATGACGTCAAGAACTTCCGTCAAAAACATCCCACAGGAATATGTTTGTCTTATTTGTCTTAAAATAGAGCTAACTGTGTTGAATCATAATGTATATCAAGTCATACTTGTGTTAAAGGTACCACAACAATTGACATTGAGAGTCCTATTGACTGAAGTGCTCCAATGTAGTATTTTCGGAGGACAATTGGCATAGCAACGAAAGTAGATTTTGGATACACTGAATATATATCTAACACACCACGGAAATCAACGGACCGTCTAATTTATGAAACTATGAATCTCTCAGACAATTATATTTTCTGGTTCTCTTGGATACATCGGACGAAAGCAAATATAAATCAACCAGATGATATTAACAACAGAACGCCATTTAGTTAAACGTTGAAATATATAAGGGCAGTTAAAACGAATGATTCATACAGAGATTAACCCAGTCAGTATACTGATAAGGTTATGGTGTCTTATGTGGGATGACTTCACGCCCTGCTTCACCTGCAACTAATACAAGTTACCAGGTCACATATACAACAGAGGATTGCACACCACAGAACGGACCGCTGAAAGTACATGGCATAGCAACATCAACTGGAGTACTGTACAACCTAATGTATATTTATGCCACCTAATATTATCTAATGTTGTATACAGCTAGGACACGTGGAACATTTTGTATGTTCTGTTAAAATGTTTTGTGTGTAAGGGATGCACGCACACATACAACAGACACACAGAGGGAGATACATACACACACAGACACATGTACCCGAATCACGAACACACACACTCAAACTAACTCTACCATTTCCGTGTGGTTTCCACCCCAAAGATATTTAAATCTCATCACGTGATATTATAAGATGCAGTGGTTTCTTCCGCACGACATCCATGTGTCTTTAGTTTCCAGCATTATTGTCTCATCTTCCTGTTCCGATTCTTCACTCAGAGCTCATCACGGGAAACTTTCTCTTTTCAGCCTTCTTGTTTGTCCATTTATCCCCGGCTTTGTGATCAGCTTCCGTCCTCCCCATCATATCCTTGTCCTCATCAGCAAACTCTTCAGCATCTTGAATCATCTTCTTCATATATTCAGGAGAAGGCTTCTCCCCGTCGCCGTACTTAATGACAATGTTGTTCTTGTTTCCAGTTCAAATGTCTTCATCTGTTACGTACACAATACCATTCAAGTCTATATGGTAACACTAATCTGAGGCGCAGGCTGGATACCTGTAAGGTCACATTGTCCCAGGGAAAGGTTGTTCTTTGTCATGGCCCTCTTGCCCTCATAGACGCGAATTGTACTTCATCCTGGTCGTGTTCTGTTGTTGTAAACTGCTCTGTTCTCCTGATGGGGATCAATGTGTTGCGCCCGATGATCTTTGCCATGACGCCGCCAATGGTTTCAACGCCGAGACGCAATGGGCTAATGTCGTAGAAGAATATGATGTCGTTATCGCCATTCCCAACCATGACTCTTCCCTGAACAGCGGCTCCGTCAGCTACAACTTCATCAGGATTGCCTCTGTTTAGTTCCTGGATACAAGTCAGAGGGTCAGCTTCCCCCTTGTAATGACTCACCACAAAGATCACACCCATAATCTATCCACATGTGAAATAATATGTCATACCGGGTATATCAACGAATAACACAATGGTCTTCAGTGAAGACATCAACAGTTGGCATAACTGGTGCGTCAACAATACTCCTTATGAATGTGTCAAAGGTATGCCTAATGGACATAATGAATCTGTCAAAAGTATGTATAATGGTTATGTCAAATCATGCATAATGGACGTGTCAAAAGTATGTTGCATAACGGCTATCTGAAAAGCATGCAGAATGGATATGTCAAAAATATATATAATTTTAATGGATTTGTGAAAAGTATGTAAAATACGCTCACGGGCGAAAGAAAGGTCACCAAAGTCACGTTTTATTTTTTATCGTACACTAAATGATTATTCATTTCTGTAGTTCACACTTTCATCATTCAGAATATTGTAAATCCATTAATTTTCCAAACGAGGTGACGTTTCTTTCGCCCGTGAGTATACATATGCGAAAAGTATTCACATTGGGCATGTCAAAAGTTTGCAAAGTGAACAAGTCAAACCGACACAAAGGATATGTAAAGTGTACTATACATAATGGATATGTCAATCGTAAGCAAACTGATGTGTGAAAAGTATACATCTCAGGTATGTGGAGAGCGTAAATAAACGTTATGTGAATGTGGTTAATGTGGAAAGGCTTTACAGTGTGCCAGGATATCGATGTACATGACCTAATGTAATTTTCAGCTTCCTTGCTCGCTGTCACCACTCTGTCTCACCACCTACCCAGTACCTGAACCACATTAGATGGCAAGTGTGTGGACGGATGAGACTGACTGGAACTGATCTTGACCTACAAGTTTATTCCACCAACCTAACAGTGCTGGGAATGCTGTACCTGTACTCAAGGTAGCCGTGTCTTATCACCTACTCAGTACCTGAACCACATTAGATGGCCAGTGTGTGGACGGATGAGACTCCCTGGAACTGATCTTGACCTACAAGATAATAATAATAATAATACACAAGATTTGTATAGCGCCTTATTTGCTTATTTAAAAAACACTCTAAGGCGCTTAACATATAAAATACTGTATGGTGATATACAGGTGGTATACAAGTGATGCTAAAAGATGAAACATCTAACACATGGTAAAAACACATACAAGGAGTAACATTCTACACAGTGATAAAACCAGTGATACATTATATGGAATAAGCAGCTTTAAAAAGATGAGTTTTAAGAGCTTTCTTAAAAATGTCCAGTGAGGATGAATTTCTTAGGCTAATTGGTAAACTGTTCCAAAGATTAGCTGAAATGCTGTCAAAACATCTGTGGCCATACGTTACTGTACGTGTCTTTGGTTGACAGAGACGGGATTCAGATTCTGATCTGAGTGACCTGGTTGGATGATATGGCACAACAAGTTCCTGAAGATAGTATGGGGCCAAACCGTGGATACATTTATAAGCATACATCAAGATCTTATACTGGCATCTCTGTCTGACTGGAAGCCAGTGTAGCTTCTCTCTCACAGGCGTAATCTCCTCACGTCGGCTAGTCTTGGTAATGAGTCTAGCCGCACAGTTCTGCACCTTCTGTAGACGACTGGTGAGGGTTTCAGGTAGTCCACAGAGAAGACCATTTCCATAATCCAGTCTAGATGTCACTAAAGCATGTACTAGAGTCTTACAACAGTCTTCTGTGATGTATCGGCGTATGGCTGAAATACTTCTGATCTGGAAATAGCATGACTTGGCGATGGCATTCACTTGTCTCTCCATTGTCAGTTTGTGGTCGAAGTGAACACCAAGGTTCATCACAGAAACAGCTGATTTAACAGAGCTGTCTCCAACTTGTACTTGCATATCACTAGTGTCAACTTTAGGGTTCTTAGAACTGAAAATAATAAATTCAGTTTTTTCCTGATTGACTTTAAGCATATTGTTGCTTGTCCAGTCGATGACTTCTGACACACAGGCTTCCAATGCTTTCGAAGTGGGCGTCCAAGAAATCCAAGGTTGAGCAACTCTGTACATCTGCTGATCATCCGCGTAAACCATATAGGAGAGATCATGTTGTTGGCAGATGTTGCCCATCGGCTTTGAATACAGACAGTACAACAGGCCCCAAAACGGAGCCCTGTGGTACACCGAAATGAATATCCGCACACTCAGACACTGTAGATCTTATTGCCACACTCTGTGTTCTGTTTAACATATAGGACTGAACCCATGATAGGGCTTCTCCGGTCACACCATAGCTGTACTGTAGTCTTTGTAATAGTATGTCGTGATCTATGAGATCGAATGCAGCTGACTGATCGATCAATACCATTGCGACGGCAGTTTTGTTGTCTAGAGCTTTGATGATATCATGGTGCACACGCAGGAGAGCAGTTTCCGTCGAATGACCAGATCTGTAGGCAGATTGAAATTTGTCCTGGAGGTTATTGACTTGAAGATGCTGACTTATGCGAGAAAACACAACCTTCTCTAAGATTTTGGAGATAAAGCACAAATTGGAGACAGGTCTATAATGCTTCAGCACCTCCTTGTCCAGGCCAGCTTTCTTTAGCAATGGTCTCACCAAGGCTTGCTTGAAACACTGTGGGACACGTGACTCCTTAAGGGACATGTTGACAATGGCCGTGATCAATGGCAGCACCTTGTCCAAGCACCCCTTCAGTAGGTAAGTCGGAACTGGGTCCAATTCACATGACTTGGAGGGAGCTTTCGTGACGATATTGCGAATTTCTGATTCAGTAGTCGGTGAGAAATCAGGCAGACATTCTCCTTGGAATTCAACATCGGCACTCAAGGTAGAAAGATTTGAAGAATCAGACAGAATGCTGTTCCTGATAGTTTCCACTTTGTTAGTAAAGAATTCCTTGAACTTATTGGCCAGTATCTTGTCAGATGAGCAACTAGGCAGGATAACTTCACCTGTGTGTCCCATCAACGTTTTGCTGACTTTGAAAAGTTGTTTATAGTCAGAGCCACATTCGATGATCTTATTGCAAAAGTACTCACTCTTGGTCTTTACAAGCAGCTTGTGATATGACTGACACATACTCCTAAACAATTGATGGTGTACAAGAAGCTTAGACCTATGCCAGAGTCTCTCTGCTTTACGTCGCTGGTGCTTAAGTTCGCGGAGCTCATCACTACACCATGGAGAGTTAGGCCTCAGTGTTATGACCTTCGTCTGTGTGGGAGCATGTTTATCAATCAGAGTTTGAAATCCGCTGTTGTAGGCACTCAGAAGTTCATCCAGTGAACCATTTGTGAGCTGTAGGGATTCACTGGGTTCCACATCCTTGATAAACTCCTGGATGGATATAGCCCTGTATCTACGGAAGGTACATGATTGTCTCATTAGCGCAGGTTTGACACAGCGGAGATCACAGGTTATTGCAAAATGATCTCCAGCTGAATTACCGTTCTTGTCACAGAATCCAGGATCAACTACCACAGGATCACTGCGTAGAACAGGACTGTTGTGTCTGGTAATCAACACATCTAGTGTGTGGCCATGGATATGTGTTGGTCCGGTGATATGCTGTACAAGACCGTGAGCGTCCAATAGACTGTGGAACTGCTTTGTATCAGGGTTGGAAAGGTCGTCCAAGTGAAAGTTTAAGTCACCTGTAATGATAATTTCCTGGGGAATGAGATTCAGTAGATTCATATATTCTGCCCACTCTACGAAGAATGTGCTGTTTCTAAGACCATTTACGCTGGATGGTGGGGGGCGATATATTACACACAGAATGAAGTGGATGTCACCTATTGTCACAGAACACTCAATGTGTTCAAAATGTGTAGCGCCTTCATCAGCACATACCTTCATTTTCTTTACATGAAGTTCACTTTTATGTATGATAGCAACGCCTCCGCCTCGCTATGATAATGCATCATCATTCAATTGCTTCAATATCTTAGTTATTGCGTATTAAAAGATCGTGTTTGTCTCCCATCGACTATCAACCGACTGGTCATAAGTAAAGCTAGCTTTTGTTCAATATATTCATTTATGGTGTTCAGCATTTGTGGATGACACGTGATATCACAGGTATGTGTTAATTAACACTGAATGTTGCGCTGTAATTGTAATGTACAGGGTAATCGATAATAATTACCCTATATAGATATCTTTACTACTTATGACGTATTTTGGGTATACTAATTCCCGCGGTATCAGTTACACTGTCCATGTAGTGTTGTTCCGTGCCAGTGCACTGCAACATATAGTTGACCGTGATCTTTAGATTACGAGAGCTCATACCGTTGGAATTAGTATGTAAAACAGATCCAAGCCTTCTCTTCACCTCGTTCCATCAGTCTACCTGATGTGGCGTAATGTATGTAGCGACTTTGGTGTTGACTTGTTGACTATATTTATTGTACTGTACCTTATAACTTGTAGAGTAACGCTTTGGGCGGCGTGATTGCATATTGTCTTTACTGTTAGAAGTGTGCTATTGTTTATAATAAATTTTGCTGTTGGTAACTTTTATGACTTTTGAAATCATTTACTAGTTAAAACTGTTGTGTTGCCGTTGCTGGAAGAGAGTGATCCACATACCCACATTGTCGTAGTAAATACCTCTCCAGCCACCCCGTCGACCGTTACATAATCAAAGATAATGATTTCAGACAAAATCATGTACTAATCGTGGAATGGGACATAGAACGCCGCATCACACAATAGTGAAAGATTTCTGAAATTGAAATTAGCTAGGTCTTGCACCACAGAGCAAGAGTCTTTGTCTAAATGAACTGCAGGTACGATCGACTCAGTACAGATGTCCTCGTAGAGAAACGAATGCAATGACAGTGCAAGTACTGACGCTTACCATAACATTGATATAAATGAGGATGAAATTACAACAGTAATATCCGACCTCAAATGTGGAAAGGCTCCCTGCATTGATAGGCTCCCCTCTGAACTCTTTAATTATCATCAAGTTTCCTTACTATAAAGCTGCTATTTAACAAAATATTGGATGATGGTATGTTCTCGAAACAATGAAAAATTGGAATAACCTTAGCACTCTACAACTCGGGTGACAAGAAGGAACCAACCAATTACAGAGACATAGCATTATTAAATGTTACGGGAAAGATTTTTACAACAATAATTGAAAAACGACTCCTTATATGGATTGATTTGAACAATTTACACTCTGAAAGCCAAGGTGGATCCCGTCCACTATATTCCACGACAGACCATATCTTCGCGTTACAGGAACTGTGCCCTAAGGATCTATATAGAACGAAAGATCGATTTTATTGAGGATTTATCGACTTCACAAAAGCATTCGACTATGTGGATACGAATAAATTATTGTATACGCTAGTTAAAAGTGGATGTCATGGAAAGTTACATTATACTTGTGCTACTGAAGAGTATGTATACGCTTGTAAGAGTGGACAAGCAGAGATCAGAAGCATTTGATACCTCGCGCGGGGTTAGACAAGGATGGACTATTTCTCATGTTCATCAATGAACTTGCAGGTGAATTATGTAAGTCATGGAATCATGGGATATTCGTCACCCCAGAAATACAGGATCTTTTTTTCCTTATGTTTGCTGGCGACATCGTTTTATTTTCAAGCAGCGTCACTCCAAGTAGCAGGTCCCCAACGTCAATTTAATGTCCTGAACAGTCCTGTGCCAAATGGGGACTGGAAGTGAATCTGATTTAATCCAATATCGTCGTGTTTCGTAACGGAGGAATCCTGGCCCAGTTTTGAAAATGGACGTATCGCAAACAGCCAAGTTGTAACATATTACAAATACCCCCAGATAGTGTTCAAGTCATATTTGGACAAAACTGTGAAACCCTTGCCCAGCAAGCTAACAAAGCCTGCGTCTGTATGTTCAGACTATTTAGTAAAAATAAAGAACTAGCACTAGTACGGATCGGAAATATGGGGCTTCAGATACATAGAGGTCATTGAACGGATCCAAACAACGAATTTCAATAGGTTCATAAAACTTGGAAAATACGCGTCAAACAAGGCCACCCTTGGTGAACTAGGACCCATTCTTATCTTCGTGCTCACACAGGCTAAAGTAATAAAATTCTGGTTCAAATTACTACACATGGAGAATAATCGTTACCCTTTACACTGCTATAAGATGTTTAAAACATATATCCAATATGGTGGATGTCAAATGTAAAATCATTCTGTTCCAGAACGGCTTTTCACACGAATGGTTCAACCAGGGAGTTGTACATTCTGCAATTCTAAACAAATTGAAGACGAAAAACATGTTTTCTTTTTCTATAAACAGTACCAACACTTCCGTGAAAGATGGCACCTGTGAAGAGCCACCTCCTCATGGTGGGTGATGGGTAACGCTAAACGCTCTTCAATCCCCCGTTGTTGACCTGGGGGTATATTTGGTCCACCAACCCGTTTGCCGTGGGTTGCGCCCCTTTATCCAGCCTCATGTAAGAATGTCGAGTTTTGATTGATTCACGTGACTCTGATAAAATACCATGTACACCCGTCACGATCCGCGAGCAGGGAGTACAAAAGTCGTATCATCCCGATACGCCTCGGTGACCACGGGAAGTGAGAAAAGCGTGCATCGCCAAGCCTTTAGCGACGTGCGCTGCATTGAGGTCAATCGATCACCTGTTGTCAACATGGCAGCAAGGAAACGTTTTTCCACAACAACTGAGAATGAAATTGAAGCAAAACGTTGTTTGATTTAGTAAAAACATTTGGCTAGATAAATGCGTTATCACATCGTGACGAGGGAAATACAGGATTTTATCAGTCCCTTGTAAGGTTGTATTCCCCAAGCCGGAGTAATACAACCTTA